CTACCTATGTTATTAGATTCCAAGGATGATGTGGTGGTGGAGCTGCTGCTGCTGCTGCTGCTGCTAGTGAAGAAAACTACAGCATCACCAATGATGGTGACAGCAGTAGTCACTTATTGCTTATGTTAGAGACATTGTATCACACAGTTTTCACAAAGACAACACTATCATCCTTGACAAATAACACAACCAAGACTTAGAGAAGTTTTAGAAGATATACCTGGGCTGCTAAGATGACTGAACAGGTAAAAGCACTTGCCACCAAGCCAACCACCTGAACTCAATCCCATGGTGCAAAGACAGAACAGACTCCTGTAAGTTACCCTCTGACCTCCACACACTCAGAGAGAGAGAGAGAGAGAGAGAGAGAACAAATAGATGATAGATTAGATAGATGATAGATAGATAGATGATAGATAGATAGATAGATGATAGATAGATAGATAGATAGATAGATAGATAGATAGATAGATAGATGATAGATAGATAGATAGATAGATAGATAGATAGATAGATAGATAGATAGATAGATAGATAGATAAAAGAAGATCCCCCTAATTCACACTACTAAGAAGCAGAATAGTTGGAAGGGCCATGAAATGGCTGTCGAAAAGTATTCACTGCACAAGCATAAAAACCTGATTCCATCCCAGAACACACTTGAAAAAGTCGGACATGACAATGTAATACTAACACTGAAAGATGGAGACAGGGGCATCCCGGGGCTCACTAGCCAGCCTAGCTTTCTTGGGAAGTCCCAGTCTCGAAAACCAAAAGGTGGATCGTGTACAGAGGAATGACAATAGAGGCTGTCCTCTGTTACACACACACACACACACACACACACACACACACACACACACACACACACACACACACAGATGTCAAAGACCACTGAAGTCTAACCCAAAGGCTTGACTGGACAAGGATCCATTTCTAAGCTCACTCGGAGTGGGGGAACCTCTTGGTAGGATTCATTTCTTGGGGCTGTTGGGCTAAGAGTCTCTGTTTCTCACTGTTGATCAGATATGAGTCACTAGACTGAATTTACAGTTAAAGGAAGAGAGTTGCATGGAGTTGCTGATCTGAGACTGTGCTGAAGGCTGTCTAGCTATGGGGTGCTTTCCTTCTGGGTTAAGCATACTACATCAATATGCATACCATTAGGTCTTCTGAAAGGGCCTTCTCCCGTTCCCAAATCCATCTGCTGCCTTTTCTTGCCCACACTCCTGAAATTTCCTGATGCATTTGAAATCTAGCCACAATCTCCTTGGTTGCAATATTTTTCCCCCTCACTTCTCCACCACTCCTGAAATATTCGATCCAGAGAAGCCTCCTGCACCATGTCTAGCCTGGGAACACCTAATCCAGTCCCTTGTTTTACAGATAAGGGCACTGAGACGCAGACTCAGTCAGGAGAAGGGGCGTCCCCAAAATCCCACAGGAAGCCAGAGGCAGGGCTGGGACCCTACACCTCATCTGCTGCACATCCCAACACACCAGGATCCTTGCTGGGAAATCAATCCAAACCAGGCACTTGAGCTCTAGGGAGAATGCAGACATTTCATCAACATACAAATGAGGGAAACATTTAGGCGGCTCTTCTCCCTCTGTCCCCATCCTTTTCTTCACAGGGGGCTGACTTCATTCCCCCCTGGGAGTGGAAAGAACTCACTAGTTAACTGAGCAGTGAGCAAGCCTTTTTGGGTGAAAATCTAGGAGCTCTGGTGGATGCAGCTTCACTGTGGTCACACAATGCCCTCTAGCCCTGAGTCGGGGTAGTTCCAGGAGGAAAAATTGAAAACAATGAAGGCTCATGAACACACAAAGCCCAATGTGCAGTTACGACAGAGCTGTACAACCCGGGGTCCTGTGGACTGAAGAACTGCCAAAGCCCCACACAATTCATGGGCACAGTGCCAGATTCTCTGCCAGTCTGTCCTTTCCACGGACTCTTAAGAGAGATACAGCAACATCACTGATCAAAAGGGTTGAGACTTTTCCACTAACTGTAACTTTCCAAATATATAGAACATCTTCACTGATTTAAGAGATTACCAAAATGATCTTCAGTGTATGCAGCTCTTTGTTGGTGGGGAGTACTTGGTTTTTAGAGTCCTGGGGACTCATTCAGAGCCTTGCATGTGCTAGGCAAATACTACCAGAGCTTCAACCACAGTCTGAGCATGCACTTTTCATATATCAAATGCAAATACTGTGAGGGTTTAATGTCATATGTCTACCCTGCACTGCCCACCTTTCGGAGTATTGCATTCCTTCCTCAGAGTAGCCATTCAGAAGCTGATATTTATATTGCAGATTTGGTTTAATTCAACAGATATCTACTAAACACCCATGTGCTGGGTGCTGAGGAGGTAAGCCAGAATGGTATTGAGCAATAGCTCTCCAGTTTCCTTCCACTTTACTACTCCTGAGCTTTGCAAATCCCTGGGGTCCACTTGGGTCACTTGGTGCCAGGGTTGGAAGTGTGACTGTTCAAAGCTCCTCTTCTTCCTACCCACTAAGAAGGTTCCAGGGAATCAGCATCCCTACCTAAAACTCGGAACTGAGTTTACCAGAAGAGAAGGCAGCTGCGCGTGCCCCTAAAGAAGAATCTGCAAGGGAGCAAAGACAAATTAGGCCAAGAGAGCTGAGCCTGGGTGAAAGCATATCTGACGGCGGCCTGGACCCTAGACCTTTTGTCTGTCTTCTAATGAAACTGAAACTGGTTTTATGTCATTGTCAACAGAAAGAATGGCTAACCCATCCTTGAGGACCTCACAACTATTTCTAACACAGAACATTGTATGAGCACTACTATTTAAACACACATACAAATGTGAGTTTCTTCTGAAAAACTAAGAATATTGAAGACTCCCCAGTAGGTAGTCTCCCTTCTGCCTTAATGTGTCAGAGTGATCTGGACAGGCAGCAATTATCAGGAGGAAGGGCACCAATAAGGAAAAGGTAGAGGGAGGCAGGACCACACTCCTGAGCTTGGGAGAAGGTTCCCATAGGAAGGATTCGGAATCCTCCTTGTAAGGACAGTGAAATCACATCCTCTGGACATGGACACATGTCGGTTCCACTCAAACACTCACAAGACTTGCGTAAGATTGAGTCTCATCAGTATTCCAGCATTGGCTGGGAAGGGGCCCATGAGACCCTGACTCCCAGCTGAGAAGCTCTGGCAGTTAATGGCTCCTATGAAGGGAAGAGACATTTCTTCAGTGATAGAGCCACTGCCCAAGCCAGAGTTCCTTCTACCCAAAACAACAACAAAATGCATGAAAGCAGGAGAGGCTCCTTGGGAAGGTGAAGGGGGCTCCGTGGGAGTGTGAGGGGGACAAAAAACGATGGAGAGAGGGGTAAAAACGGCCAAGATGTATGTACGAAATTGTCAAAGAATTTAAGTCTAAATCGTGATTTTATATGTAGCTGAGATGGTTCAGACCTCAGTTACCAGGACCACATAATAAGATCATATTCATTTGTTAAATTATTTTTGAGATATATCACATGCCATAAAATTTATCTTTTCAAAGTTTACAGTTAGTGAGTTTGGGTGTGTTTGTAAAGTTTTACAACTATTATCAGTAACCTCCATCACGAATCTCCCTTCCCCCTCTTCCTCTCATCCTTAGCAATGCTAATATGTTTTCTGTCTCTGTGGGGTTGACTATTTGGGACATGCATTTTATTCAGATTCCATTTACATTATTTTATTATTACTTTTACAGTACTGGCCATCAAACCTTGGTCTCTATGCATGCTAAGAAAATGCTCACCTCTGAGCTATACCCAAAGCTATTCACTGTGGGCATTTCTGTCTGAGAAAGAGAGGGAGAAAGAGATAGAGAGGAAGGGAAGGAGACAGACAGAGAGAGAGAGAGAGAGAGAGAGAGAGAGAGAGAGAGAGAGAGAGAGAGAGAGAGAGATCAGACACAATATACATGTCGCACTCAGAAGACAACTTTCGGGGGTCAGTTCTTCCTTTCACCAAGGGTTCTGAGGATTGAGCTCAGGTCAGTGAGCTGTGTGACAATTGCTTTCCCCTCCTGAGTCATCTCAACAAGCCAACAATAAGATTTTCTTTCTTTCTGGTTTTTTGTTGTTGCTGTTTTGTTTTTGGTTGTGTGGAGGTGAGGTCATGGAGGTAGAGAGTGGTAAGATCATCCAGGGTATCTTTTTCAATTGCTCGCCACCTTTTCCTTTTCTGAGACAAGGTTTCTCATTGAACCTAGAACTAATAGTTTCAGATAGACTGAGTGGTTAGTGAGACCCCAGGATCTGCCTATCCCTCCTCCACCGCCATCCCCAGTGCTGGGGTTACAGATTCGTGCCAATCCACCCAGCTTTCCATGGATGCTGGGGATCCTAGCGTGGGTCCTCACGCTTGTGCAGCAAGCGCCTTACTGACTGAGCCATCTCTCCCCAGCCTCAAGGCTCTATTTCCCCCTCACTCTTCTTCCTGTCACTTCCTCAATCACAGCACACTGCCTGTCCAAAATCCGCCCCCATGATCCGTCCAAAATCTTTTTCCGAATCCCACTGGGAACACTTTGCCTTTGGAGATAATAGTGCCAAGGATTAGAACCAGAGGTTGGGATGAGGGTAGGAGGTGATGGAGAGGCTGAACAGGAACCAGGATGGGATGTGGCCTGCGGTGAGATGACGTGCCAGGGATGGGAATCTGGGGCTTGCAACTCAAGCTCTATGCAGAGAAACCCCAAAGCCACTGACAGATAGGAAGAGAAGCAGGCAGATGCCTCTTTGGGTTCACTCTTCCAGATAATAGGTACCTGCTTGCCACAGAATCTCTCCATGTTTGGCTGCCCTCCAAAGCTAACTTTTTTCTTGGCTGTGTTATAATAAACATCTTTATTAACTAGAGCTGGGGATATAAAAGAAATTTGGAGATTTCAATTTTTTTCATCATTATCGTTGAAAGACATTGCCACATTTGATATGAGACAAGGGGATAAAAGTGAAAGCATTGTTGTGTTTGCTTCAACACACATAACCAAAATTGGAACAGTACGGAGATGATTAGCATTGCCCTGCACAGGAGGACACTCACGTCTGTGAAGCATTCCACATTTTTAAATAATGAAGAAATTCTCAGGGCAGAGTTCTAGAGAGTGGGATGAGTTTCTTCAGAAATCTAGACTATTCTGTCTCAGGCTGAGGAGCTTGTGGGAGAAGGCTGTTGTCAGAATAGTTTTCTCCTTTCTTGTATTTCAAAGTGCATGCATTGCTAAGTTATGCATCTCCTCATTTGAGCAGCTCAAGACAGTGACAGCTAGATTAGCTTGTGTCAGTATTTAGCGTGTCCCCAAATCACCTCAAGTTCTTATTTTAAAAGCCAGGCTCCTGGACACCATCCCCAGAGTTTCACAATGTCCTTGAAGCCAGTGTTTGAGGAAGAGACTCGGGTAGGACTAGTTCTGCAGTCACAAATTAACTCCAAGCAGTTGAGAATGTCTGCTGGAGCTCTAGGTTAAGACAAGGTCTGAACATAAGCCATCAACTGGTGATATCTGCCATGGGCAGAGCATGGGTAGCCGAGGCACAAAGGTCATGTGTTTCTCGTTACTATAGCAAGCATTCCCTGAGTGCACAGCCTGTGTCCTCCTACCCAGGAGCCGTGCTAATCATCTCCAAATCAATCCAGTTTTAGTGTATGTGTGCCAAAGAGATCGTGAGAATCTCTTCGTTCATATCAGATATAAGGATCTGGGTGCTCAAACATACCGACCCCGGAAGAGTAACTAAGTCATTTCAGCCCATACTGTAGGAAAGCCTATAAGGGGACACATCCTAAAACTAAATGTGTGGTTGATTACCAAGACAAGTACATAATGCTGTGACAAGGCAGTGACAGAGCAAGGACGTGTGCCCACCTGGACAGAAGACAACTGAGCCTGATCTTGGAGAATAAATAGGAATTTTCCAGGTGAGCATAGGAGAAAATATACCAAAGATAGAGATGATTACAGATGCTATAAACAAGAATATTAGAAAGGGATGTTTCCTGGGATTTGTTTATTTTACACACACACACACACACACACACACACACACACACACACACACATCCCAGGCCCACAAACATGCTGTTTCTTAAAACTTTAAGACTTATTGAGAAGGAGTTAGGGGAGGGGGTGGTATTGGAGGTATTGGAGCAAGGGATAGGGGAAATGATGTAATTATATTTTAATTAAAACTCAAAATAATTAAATAAAAGACTTACGGTGCTCCCACATGAAATCTTTTCCCCCAGTAGGCTAGTCTGTATTCTAATGTCTCGGTTTAAATGTCAACTCCTGTTCAACAAAGAAAGTTACCAGAACTTAGTGTGGGGGTGGGGTGCACACTCATGCTGAAGTACAGCACACGTCAGGTAAAGCAGAAGGAAGCAAAGCTACAAAAGCCAGACAGGTCCTGATGCCTGGTCTCCATACACTCACCAGGCCACACCCAAGTCAAGACAGGTCCTGATGCCTGGTCTCCATGCACTCACCAGGCCACACCCAAGTCAAGACAGGTCCTGATGCCTGGTCTCCATACACTCACCAGGCCACACCCAAGTCAAGACAGGTCCTGATGCCTGGCCTCCAAACTCTCACCAGGCCTCACCCAAGTCAAGACAGGTCCTGATGCCTAGTCTCTGGACACTCACCAGGCCACACCCAAGTAGAGGCAGTGGTCATTGGGATAGCAAATAGAAATTCTATTTGCTATATATACTATCTTGCCATACATGAATTGCAGATCTAACAAACTGGGAGACTGTGCAACTCCCTCAACCCCCCCCCATCCCAGCACAATAACCTTAAAAGAGGACTGACCTATTTTCCAGAGCTTGCCCTTTCCCTGAGAGGCATCGTGTTAGTTACTTTCCTGTTGCTGTGATAAAACACCATGACCAAGACAACTCATAGAAGGAAGGGTTATTTGGGGCTTACAATTCCAGAGGGTTAGGAATCCATGCCCGTTACGGCAGGGAGCATGCACACAGGCAGGAAGGCAGGCACAGTGGTGGCATAGCATCTGATGGCTCACATCCAGGTCCACAAACAGGAAACTGAGCGCTGGAAGCACACCCTGGGAACCGTGTGAGTCTTTTGAAACCTCAAAGCCAACCCCAGTGTTACACTCCTCCAGAAGGCCATACCTCCTAATCCTTTCCAAACAGCCTCCAACTGAGGACTGAGTATCCAAATGCTCAAGATTTATGGGGTCATATCATCCAGAGCACCGCAAGTATGAAACTCAAGCTGGCCACCACACAGAACAGCTCAAAGACAAAGCTTGAGCACTGGTTTGCATGTGTGCTTCCTAGAGGCTAAGAGTTATACAGACTCCAAGGTGGGCAGACAGATAGGGAGAGGGGCCATGACTGGGTGAGAAAGATGGTGAACTTCCAAGATGGCCGGCTTCTTCCTCACCTTCCCTACCCAAGACAAAAGCCTGGCCGCTCAGAACACAGACCTAGCAGGCTTTTTTCTCCCACCAGTCAACCTCCCTGCTGATGGACTGGTGGACTAGCCAGAGGAGTTCGAGGCCAACCTGTCTTCCTTCAAACTGACCAACCTTAAATAAGGATTGTGGGGGGGGTGTCGGGGTGGCTGGGGGGGTGTCGGGGTGGCTGGGGGGTGTCGGGGTGGCTGGGGGGTGTCGGGGTGGCTGGGGGGGTGTCGGGGTGGCTGGGGGGTGTCGGGGTGGCTGGGGGGTGTCAGGGTGGCTGGGTGTGTGGGTTCCTCACACCTGATAGAAGCCTCCCTACACCGGCTGGTTTGCAGTGTCTGCAGTGTTTGAGATTTCTCCCTGCTCCTACCTGTTGCACTTGAGGATTTCCCCACCCTTTAGTCCTTTAACTTGCAGAAATGAACCTGACCAAGTCCCCTAGACTTTTCCTCTTTCCTAGGAAAGTTCGTTTACAGAGGTCACTAACTTCTCCGCCACCTACAGGCACCTTTGCTCAATGGAAACACCCTAGCTCAATTAGCTCAGACAAAGTAGCATCACTACACCAAAGAACCCAAACAACTCAAAACCAGTCCTGACTTGGGAGACTGGCAGCCATGGAAGGGCTGCTTTCTAGCTTGCTCACAGCTGCTCCCCCCCCCCCATGTGAGCATTAACAAGTGCAGAAAAGGGTAAACATGGAAACATGGAAACAGGAGTCAAGTGTTGTAAGGCACCAAGAAGTGGGCAGTTCTAGGGGAAAGAGTCACACAAAATGAACCAACGAACCAAACAAAGTCACTCGTGGGTTTTAAGAGTAGCATGCCTAGCCCCCAGAGCTCAGCGCGGGTGAGTCCTGATTCTAGAGATAGCTGCTGTTGACCTGTAACCCTAAGGACGAAATAGCTGGCTAGCCTCATTCTTGGTACAGGTGTACACCATGTCCTTGAAGATTCAGACCAGCAATGTAACCAACAAGAATGACCCCAAGTCCATCAACTCTCGGGTCTTCATTGGGAACCTAAACACAGCTGTGGTAAAGAAGTCAGATGTGGAAACCATCTTTTCCAAATATGGCCGTGTGGCCGGCTGTTCTGTGCACAAAGGCTATGCCTTTGTCCAGTATGCCAATGAGCGCCATGCCCGGGCGGCTGTGCTGGGAGAGAATGGACGGGTGCTGGCTGGACAGACTCTGGATATCAACATGGCTGGGGAGCCCAAGCCCAATAGACCCAAGGGGCTAAAGAGAGCAGCAACTGCCATATACAGGCTGTTTGATTATCGAGGCCGCCTTTCTCCAGTGCCTGTGCCCAGGGCAGTCCCAGTGAAGCGACCCCGTGTCACGGTCCCTTTGGTTCGCCGTGTCAAAACTACAATACCTGTCAAGCTCTTTGCCCGTTCCACAGCCATCACTACTGGCTCAGCCAAGATCAAGTTAAAGAGCAGCGAGCTACAGACCATCAAAACAGAGCTGACACAGATCAAGTCCAACATCGATGCCCTGTTGGGTCGCTTGGAACAGATTGCTGAGGAACAAAAGGCCAACCCAGATGGCAAGAAGAAGGGTGACAGCAGCAGTGGCGGAGGAGGTGGCAGCAGTGGCGGAGGCACCAGTGGCAATGCTGGTGGTAGTGGCGGCAACAGTGGCGGCGGTGGCAGCGGCGGCAGCAGCAGCCGGCCCCCGGCCCCCCACGAAGACACGGCCTCTGAGGCAGGCACACCCCAAGGAGAAGTCCAAACTCGAGATGATGGTGATGAGGAGGGACTGCTGACACATAGTGAGGAGGAACTGGAGCACAGCCAGGACACAGATGCAGAAGATGGGGCCTTGCAGTAAGCAGGAGAAATGGCCACCAGCAGAAGGGCATCACTGTCTCAGGCCTCAAGCCAGGCACTCATTTCTGGATGCCAGTTTGTAGCGGGTACCAGAGGAAAGCTGGCAGCAGGCACTCCTCTCCCCATGCATCCCAGCCAGTGAGTGCTACATCCTTTGCAAGTGGAGTTACTGGCCTACCCTTACCCCATGCACTCTTCCTGTCTGCACTGCCTGGGCCAAAGGGCAGAACACATTCTGCCCTTCTTCCCCAGGGCATTCCTAGGCTTGGGGTTTTTCTATAGGTTTGAAAGTAGGGGGGTGGGGTGGGGTGGGTGGGGGGAACCTCAAAATAAAGAGATTGGATCCAAAAAAAAAAAAAAAAAAAAAAAAAAAAAAAAAAAAAAAAAAAAAAAGAGTAGCATGCCTACTCCCTGAACACGCCCTAGAGCATTTGATCACCTTATGTAAGTAAAAATAAACCACAGAAAGACCGGAATGATAGCTCGGTGGGTAAAGTCCTTGTCCTGCAAACAGGAGGACCTAAGCTCCATTCCAGAAGCCATACTGAAAACAAAAAGCATGGTGTGGGTGATACACTTGTAATCACAGTGTTGGAGAGGCAGAGACAGGCAGACCCCTGGGCTGTCTGGTCAGCCCGCCTGCCCACATGGTGCATTCCAGGCCAAAGACAGCACTTGACTCAAAAAAAGTGAGGTGGATGGCCCTTGAAGGATGACCGCTAATAGCCACACACATGCACACATGTGGGCACACGGAACTGTGAAGAGGGAAAGGGATGTAGGGGATGAGGAGAGGGAGAAAGAGTGGGAAAAGAGAGGTAAGGCAGGGAAGAGGGAGCCACACCACAGAACCGGAAGCAGGGCATACAGTTTCTTTTTCCTACCATCACCTTGAAAATATCACTCGATTTGCTAATTTCACAAATTTTGGTTACATGCCAGACATAGTATGTATTGAAGATTCAGGAGTAAGCACCAGGCAAGACCTCCCTCCTTCAGGGACAGAACAGCTGGGGACCCAGAAATCCCACAGGCAAATATATCTGTTCATAGCAATCACTATAAGAAAATAAAATCTAAGAATCAGAGGAAGTAGGATATGGCAGAAATAGGAAGAAGGGAACCAACTTTAGCCTGGCCAGGCAAAAGGTAATGTTTAGGGGCTGGAGAGATGGCTCAGAGGTTAAGAGCACTGGCTGTTCTTCCAGAGGTCCTGAGTTCAATTCCCAGCAACCACATGGTGACTCACAACCATCTACAATGAGATCTGGTTTCCTATTCTGGCCTTCAGGCAGAACACTGTATACATAATAAATAAATACATCTTTAAAAAAAAAAAAAAAAGATGATGTTTAGGGTGAACACGTGACACCAGGCCAGAGAACAGCTGATAGGAAGCCAATCCTACAGAGATGTAAGAAATGAAGACTCCGTATAGGCATACCACTGTGAAGTAGATAGAAGCTGGATGCTTTGGCTAGCAAATGGAAGGTCTATGGAGCAGAGTCACGAAGGAGAAGAGGAGAGAAATCAAGTCTAGTCGGAGAGTTGGGCAAGAGGCAGAAGACAATGAAGGGTGTTACTTAAAGACAGCAGTGGTAGAAACACAGCTGAGTTGGCCGTGGACTTGCCTAGCATGCATGGAGGCCTGGGTTTGATCCCCTGCAGTCATGTAAACCAAAACTACCCCTGTAATCCTAGTACTCGGGAAGTGGAGGCAGGAGGATCAGAGGCTCAAGGTTATCCTTGGCTACCTAGCACTTTTAAGGCCCTCTCTCAAACTGCAGCAAAGAAGAAAAGAAGTGGGTTGAGCTGCGTTTGTGACTGGAGCCATGAACCTTGCAGGCTGCAGACAGTTAATTACAAGACACAAAGGAAAACCCAAAGGAGTCAATGGAGTTGCCCAAGACATAATGAGGTCTGAATCTTGATCTATATAGTTCCAGAATGCCCACTGCATGGATGAAAAAAAAAAAGGCTGAGCATCCGAGCATGGGTGAAGACTGAATCCTGCCAGCGCACGGAGCAGAGGCTCTCAGGAGATTAGCCTTGGAAAGGTGGGGTGTTCACATTAGACCTGTCTGAAAAGCCAGAAAACATTGCGCTGAATGTTTACTCTGTGTCAGATTCTTCCAAGGGCTTTCCATGTTGGATTCTTTACCAACCGCATTGAGGGGCATTCCCACAGTAGAGGGCAAAGAAGATGGAGGTCTCTGCTTGCTTGCCAACTAGCAAGACTCAGAATAGCTGGAGCCTCTTCCACAGTTCATGACTCATTAGACCCTACTGAAACACACAGCACAGTAGGTACTCAAGCATGGCCAAGGATGCTATGTTCTCCGAAATCACTCACTCCATACTCTTTCCCCTTTGTTTTCATTTCTGGTACCCCACATCATTACGCCACTGGGTACCCCACATGGATACGATGCTGAACTTTCCCAGTGAGTCTATGGCCTTCTTTCCATTTCCTCCAATTTGTAGGTGAGAAGATGCAGTTGAGCTAAGGTTTTAACTAGGGCCTCCCAAAGGTGTCGCTCTTATCCTGAGGTCTGAGGGAACCCTGGGAATGGAAACACAAATCTGGGGTAAAATTAGAGGGTGGCATCAGTGATAGTAACAGCCTCATCCTGACTGCTCTGCTCAAGTCAAAAGTGGCACTGTTTACTTTTTTCTCCATAATGAATTAAAATAAATGAAGAAGAAGAAAAATTGCCCAATTGTGGACTGGCTCACGCTGTCCTGGGCCATGTGTCAGCACTGGCATGGGTCTGATGCAAGGGAAGAGTTAAGCTTTGAATTATTATCAGAATTAGGGTGCTTTATTGGTTCACATCACCCAATCTTCCCCAGCCATTATGGCTTCACCAAAACATTAAACTACTTTAAACTTTCATTTTCCTCTTAAAACGAAATTAGTTCGGAGGAAATTGTGTTTTCTGAGCTCCAGTTCCAGCCCCAGGCAGAGGGAGTTACAGTACAGCGCACAAATAAACAACAATCACGGCCTAATTACTAACTAGTAGGGGCAGTGCTGTCAGTGGCACGGTCCTGGAGGGAGGCAGGGCGCAAGCAGACCTCTGGAAGCCTGGGGTCCTGACATGGTAATCTTCTGCTCCTCAGGCCCTGAAGGCCAAAGACAAAGGAATGTCTGAGGCACACCAAGTCCCTGCCCCCTGGGTGCTAACCTATGCTATCCTGTGCTCTCCCCACCACCACCATCCCACCCCTACCCCCCACCCCATCCCCATTGAGACCCCTATTGGGGTAATCCTAAGGATAGAATCTGAGCCAGCTGCTACAACTGAGCCATTCACTGAAGCAAAGACTAATGGGTTAAGAGCTATTTGCTGAGGATCTGTTGTGTTGTCAGGAAATACACAGTATTCCTCATTTTTAATGGTTATCAGACATCTATTCTTTCTACTTGTCCACCTGCTTTGAAGAAAAATTCCTTTTATGTCAAGCATATATCAAATTCTTTTTGCCTTGTGATCAATGATGAGCCTATCATAGATCCTCAAACAGTGGAGTGATTAAGGCTAAACAAGTCACAGGTCCTCAATTATTGTAGGGCATTGGTCATGTGATTAGAGCTACACCAACCGTAGGACCTCAAATAGCCCAAAAGTAAAGCTGAGCCCAGCATAGGACGTCAGGTGCCTGAAGCTAAGCTGCTTGTAAGACCTCACCACTCTGGAATGTGATTGGTTCAAGGGCAGCAGGCGATGGAAGCCCAGCCAATCACAATTTTTCTCCGGGAATTTTCTGCCTAGAGCAGGAAATAAGGTTCTGTCCTTATTTTCCAGATCTAGAAAAATACAACTTTTGATGGCCATGGTTGTGAAAGTCATCCCCAGAAAGACAGGAAAGTGGTGGGTGGGGGTGACAGTCCTGGAGGAGAAAGTTGAGGGATGGAAAGAGACAAAGAATGCCATCTCTGGCAAGACTCTTAGCCTGTCTATTGGTTGCCTTGCCCAAGCCCATAACCCAGGGCAGCTTTCACCTCCCATGAGCATAGTCCAGATGGATTCCTGTCACAAGCCAGTAGGGGCTCAATGACAGCCCCATCTCTGTAGCTAACATGTACTGAGGAAGCACTGCAGTCACCTAAGTGTTTTATTGCACTGAGTTCCTAAATCTGCAGAACTGTGAAGGTGGTACCAAGGACACGCCCATTTCATATTTAAGGAAACTGAGGCAAAGAGATATTAAAGTGATTTCTCCAAGGTCATACACCTTAGAACTGTAGAATAAAAATAGTTGTCTTTTATGAACGTCTATGCTTCCTTGAAAAGAATGGTGTAGGCACTGTTATCCCACTTCACAGATTGGGGGTGATCCAGAGTTTAAGAGACAGGGACCCAGCTTCCAGGCCACCTTCTTCATCCTTCCCTCCCTTACTTCCAGACAAAATCTGCCCACTGGATTTTCTCAGCCACTGCACCAACGCACAAGCCCTGAGCTGATCCCTTTTTATTTCTACAAATGGAAATATCTTTATTGTGTTTTCTTTTTCTGCTGTATCTGAAGATGATCCACGCTGCCTGATGTTATTCTCACCGGTAATGCTCCAGCCCACAGATGCCAAGGGCTGAAACTTCCTGTTATACAACTGTTCCGAACTTCCAGGGCTGATTGCCCCTGGCAGAAGCAGCCCCAGACAGGCCAGAGCGTTTGATGCCGAGAGAGCGTGTCAAGGCTGCCTGGGCATTTGCTAGTCCCTTTTAATTTCAAGAGCAAGAGAGTCTAGATGTGCAGAAATGAGGGGAAGGCGAAAAGACAAGGAGAGAGAAGGGCAAGGTGAGGTAAAGCAGGGGTTTTGTGATGCAGCAGTCAAGAGCAAAACCAATATCATCATTGCTCATTCCCCTGCTGGGCTCCTGATAAGACAAGGCATTTGAGATTGCTCCTGAAAATGGGGATTTGGCCAGGGTGACCTTGGATGCAGGGACTCACAAAGCAACCCAGAACTCTTCCTGTTCCAGGCCCTGCAGTGGATGTGACTGAGAAGAGTCCCCGTGTCCCCCATGAAAGCCTTGCCTTGTGATTGGGCTATGCAAACAAGCTGCCTAATTTGGCCTATTTTCAAGTAGCATCCCTTTGGGGGAGAGAAGAGGTGGCCTTAGTAACAGTGTGGGATGCTTGCATGACTTGAGTGTAGGGTTCAAGTGTGAGTCTCTTCTGCAGCAAATATGAGAAACCCCTGGTAGCCTTATAGTAGGGCTGGCCCTCCACCAGTCTCCCACCCTCTGGCTTCCATAAAACCATCATCTGAAACAGATTTCTCTCTGCTAGAGGCTGAAGAGGGG